TCCCACTGTGGGGGGGGGGAGAGTGAGTGAGCAGCTGCATGGTATTTGGCTGTCTGCCAGGTTAAACCACAACAAATATTTAAATAATTTATGACAGGCCTGCACTCCCACCCGCTTTCTGGTGCTGGCTGCAACCATACAACTGGGGACACACAGGAGAGCAGAGACCAGGTGCAGACTAAGTGATGGGGAGAGGGACGAACACTAAACGCGAGGGGAGGCCAGTCTCTCCTATGCCCCAATAAGGCCCAGCTCGGCAGCTGTCGCACAGCCCCGCCGGTGATGCCACCGCTTGTGGGAACAGCTCAGTGGCAGGTGACACTGCCCCTGGGAGCGCACATCACCCCAGGGATTCCTCAGGACCTCACAGCCTACCTCTGTACCTGCTGCTTTCAACAAGAAGGAAGTTCTTCCCTTTAATAATATTGTACGCAATTTATTGCGGACCACCAGACACTTTCCATCCTGTTCATGTGAGCATTCCTACTGGAAACTAGTATCAATTAATCTTGCGAAAAAATTACCTAACAGCCCTTAAAAGAAATAGTGGCTGAAGAAACCGACATCAATGAATTCTAGATAAAAGCAAGAAAAGCTACTTAAATACATATAAACTCAAAATAGGTAGTGCTGTTTTGCAAAGAAAATGTAATCTGACAAAGAAATTAAAAGCTAAATTCTGAAAAAAACCTCTGTTTCACTTGATCATTTTTATGTATGGAGGAGTTCAATAGCATTTTCAAATACAGCTTTTCAGAAGAGTTCAAGTTTAACTGCTAAAATGCTGAGGATGAATTTTGCTTAGAAACAACTTCATTTCATAAAGAGTAAAGCTTTGTCTGCTTGAACAGGAATATAGTCAGTTGTTGGAGAATTCATACGACAGTGGACCCTAAAGACATAAAAATTAAACGAGTAAACTTATTAATACTAGGAATTAAGTGAACAATCTAAGTACAAAATAAAAAGTGACCACAACAAGTTTTGCCACAAATAAACTGATTTATTACTTTTTTGGCAAGTCCCACACAGCATGAGCAAGGATCTTTCACTCACTATATTAAAACATTATTTCGCTTTATACAAATTGTAAACATTTTCAACAGGACAAACTGTTGGTACAGGCTTTCCACGATTCTGGCATCTTTCCTCTGTCAGTTAATCAAATGAGAATGAAAACCCAATAAACCAGAGAACTTTTTTCACAGGGTATCTATAAAATGCAGCATGTGCATTTCATATCACATCAATTCTAAGGAACAGAGACAAGAGTATTTCTGATTATTATTTTTAGTGAAATTCATAGTGGTATTATGAATAGAGACACTTTTTCCATACTGTTGTATCCAATTTTTTGTTTGAAATTAAAAACGTTGTTTTATACAATCAAGGTAGTAAACCAAATTCTACAGTAAACCAGCTGCTATGAATACAGCTATGTTTGCTATACTGTATCAGATAAATAACGATGTAAAAACTCCCCATCTGGTTAATACTTTGTTCTCCTGGCAGGCACCAGTCTAAAGTAGTCATAATTCAAGTTCTGCTTGTCCAAAAGCCCCTGTTATAATTGTCTGATTCCCCCCGCCCCCCCAAAGTGCTTTAAATCAGACATAATCTGATCCATAAAGTGAATACTTATCTCCTCCTTCTTGAGTAAGAGGAGATTTTTCTTTCTAATTGATAAGTCCCAGGAATGTCAATCTGCTGGCTAGCTTCACTGAAGGACTACAAGATGCGCACTGTTAGCTCACAATCCTCAAATCAGGGCAAAGGTGTTTCAACTTGACCTGAATCACTTTTCTCCAAACCAACTCATTAGCACTAAAATACAGACAATTATCATGTTTATTGACTAAGGCTTTTAAAAAAAAAAAATCACTTCTATTGTTAAAAAACAATTGCATTACAACTTTGGTTTCAGTATGCTGCTAATTTTGGAGTCACATTTACAGTGACTTAAAGACAAAAATCTACGTTTCTATGTAAAAAGTCAAGCCATATTAAAAAACCCCACCTTTCAAGTCTCTGTGCATCATAAGGAGCAATGAAAATAAACTTAATTCGTCTGCAGACCACCTTTAAAGTTACTGACAAGACCCAAGATGGTTATTTTTACACCTGTATGCAACCAGCTGTTTTAAGCACTATAAAACGTGACAGTTTAGATCACAAAGTGCTTAGATCAGCAGATCCATAAATGATCAGTTCAGTTGAGTTTCACTACCTGAAGTGAGGACATGGAGGAGCTTTTTATTTGTAAGATTTCTGTATCATCAAAATGCACAGATGAAAGACTATGAAGGATGAACAGCACAGTTAATATGATGTATAGTCATAAACAACAATGCTCTTCCTACAGATTCAGTACTAGGAACAGCATCAAGCATTCAGTTCCTACTGTCAACTGCAAAAAAAAAAAGACTGAAGTCCTCAAACCTTGGTAAAAATCTTAGATTAAAGTCTTTAAAATAAAAAGATTGTGCAATTCCTTCAGCCAAGCAAGATATTCCACTACTGGATTTGCCTCCAGCTCTTCTCTGCCCAAATAAAGAAGGGGATCCCTACTACAGCATTAAAGCCAGATCCTGATAGAACTAAAGAAACAGTGTAGAGGATATTCCATCAGTCAAAATAAAATCAATTATTTTAAATGCCTTAACTCTTCCATGACCATCAAAATCTGCCAGAAATAATGTAACAGGAACCTTCAGTTAACCTTAATTCTTCAGCAGAAATGCAGATTAAACAAACATTTCCTACCCAGTATTTTCACTGCAGCATGGGATGAAGGTCTATTAAATAAAAATTTCTGATCTACGCAGCCACTATTTCAGAGAAGATCTTCTAAACATGATTAATACCAACAAGTTCAAAATACTGCTGTATGGTTTTGGTTTGGTTTTGTTTTAAATCAAGAGCTATTTCTGATTCACAGTCAAACCTTGTATTCTTTTTTTCATTTTTAATCCACTCCATCTAGTTTTACTTTCCTGTCTGTCTGGGAATTGTCTGGAGCCCAATACATCAAGATGCAACTGTTATCCATGTGGATTTATGACTTTTGTATGCTAGCTGCTGTTTTCTGTAGCAGCATCTGTTAGAAGTTTTACAGAATTGTAATGTTCTCCTAATCCATAGGCATGTCTCATATACCTAAAAAAAAAAGTTACAGAATTAGTGTTCAGTTTAACGAAAAGTATACGTCATGCCAAACATTAACAGCACTGGAAGATAGCTTAAATAAATTCAGGTTTTAGCACAGAAAATATATAGGGTCATTAAAAACGAGAGTATTAATAAAGACAGTTTAATCCTGGTGACTTCCAGGCACAGATTGACCTAAACTTTGAAGAGAAAAAAAAAAGTTTCCTGCTGCATCTTATATCAATTTCACTATTATTTTCTAATTACCTAGCAGGTAAAACAACCTTGTAGCATTCTATAAAGCAGTGACTGAATCACACTTCAGACTGATTGTCAGCACTTTAAGAACTCTTAATTAAATATCTTTAAACTAAGTATGTCAATCATAAAAATAATTTCTGACCTGCAAGATCATTATTCAAGCAGTGTTTCAACATCAGATACATAACAGAAAATAAAGAGCAGGTGAGAATCAAAGCTGAGCCCTCTGCTATAGAAATATATGCACTAATTTTAAGAAGGGATAAAATTACATACTTACACAAGTATGATTGGTTTGCCTGAATATTCTTCACCAACAATAATGGGAGGGGAATCCATTTGCACTACTTCAATAGGTGTTTGCAAAATGTGCGACAAAGCCCTTAGCTTTAAGGCATAAAAACAATTAAATAATAGGATTAAATCCAATGTAGGGAAGAGAGAGGAAGACATGGCATTTAGTTTTAGCAGATATGAGTTCAGGCATAACATTTCAAATATTGTTAGAAAATAAACTGTATTAAAATAAGCAAAATTATTTCAACTTTTTAAACTTTAATTGAAAAAAGTTGCCTTAAATTAATCATTGTTTTGATGATACAACAGGGATAACATTGGGCTATCTTCAGTAATTTGGTAACTGCTCTTTCATAAAACAATAAATAAGACGTAAACTAAAGTAAATATGTATTTTCTCAAGCTCAAGTTCTGGTTTACATTACAAAAAACTAACACTGCTCTGCTCTAGTCAGCTTTGCTACCATCTAAGTCTGCATAATAAAATGCTTTCTCCTTCGAAAGTTTTCCCCCACTTGTACTGTCAGTCTTTCTAAAGATATTTAGAACTACTGACTTCATTAACTTGCATGTCATCAAATACATCAGAACAGCAGCGCACCATCAGAAAAGCTACTAATTTGGGAAAAAAATTTATAACCATAGGAGAAAGTTTTTGATAAACTATTTATGACTATGTTCCCTTACGCCTTCAGGTATTCTTCCTTAAGAAGCCCTTTTTGAAGGTATATTCACCCACTTCAGAATTTCACAAATAAAAATTATCAATACAATACTTACTTCCAGCTGACCACCCCATGCAGCTGTATTTGCTATATCATCACAGTATTTTTCAAATTCCTCTGCAAGGAAAAAAAAGACTACTTTTAGTACTTCTCTTATTTGAGAACAAGCAACTGAGGAAAAATATTGATTGTACAATGAAGAACCAGAACCTGAAAAGTCCGAACACATTTTACAGGAAAATAGTACGTTCACTGAAGAGAAGGAAAGGAAAACAAAAACATCAGAGGGGAAAAAAAACTCCATAGCTGTTTTAGAATGAAAAATTAAGACTGAAGACAGGAATAAAAACAAGTATGGGAATAAAAAGAAGTACAGGTTTGTATTTTAAACTTTTTATTCAGGGAACTGTTAACAAGCATGAAACTGCACAGAGTTTTCTTCCTGTTAAGTTTCAGAGGGTGTTGTTTTAAGACCCTAGAAGAGAATGTGATAGCAAGTGGTATGCTTAGTTCTTACATTAGCTAGATGTCAGGTATGTTTTTTAAATCTTGTAACTGTATGTAGTTCAACTGTTGGGGTTTTTTTAAATTTCCAAATTAGCTGCCTTGTTTTTAACCTCTGAAGTATTTATTTCCAGTAGTTCCTTTGTTAATAGCTAAATAAAGCTTTTGCAGATCATGTTCTACAGAAACCAAGCTTTCAAATTTATAAGTTACAACCTTCAGGCTTCTGAATCCTATGAATAGATTCTGATAAAGAAAGAACAGATTTTGTGAAGACTGCTGAGAATTGTTTTTCATGCATTCCTCTTATAACAGACTTGAGACATAAGAAAACCACAACTCCCTGCTGCTCTGCAGAACTTCATTCAGTCTTCTCTTGGGGCACATTTATCCTGTGACAATTATCTCTGTCAACGTGGGAAAGATGCCTCCTACTTCACAACAGCCCCCAGTCACCAAATGAAATCCACAGCAATAACTATTAAATGAATGTAGCAGTAACTTAAAAAAATGTATAAAGTCATTTGCATGGTGTTCCAGACATGCAGTAAGAAATCAATGAACTATGTATTGCTCAAATAAGAAGTACAAAAATTCCATTTAACTGCATTTACTCAGTCTACACCATTGCTCCACACCAAATGCTATTTTTTTTTTAGTTTAGTCTGTTTATAAGAAGGGCTCCAAAAGGCCTAGCATAAACAGTGAAAATAAAGGGTAGAATAAGAAAAAGCATCTATGCAAACTATTATAAGAGAGATTTGCTTGAATTTCACACTCATTTTTAACAGCTTTCCTAAGTAAATTGAAAACACCAATATAAAAGTTGTCAAAAAATCATCCCTAACCTGGTAGACAAGCTGTTTATAATACAACTTAAATCACATCCCAGAACATGATTATCATCTAGCAACCAGCAAGTTCTGATTTTTTTTTTTTTAAAACGGGGAATAATGTTTGCTAGATTATGTAAAAAAAAAAAAAAAAAAGGATAAATTACAAAGACTCAGGGCTACCAAGTTTCATAGCGGATCATAATTCTGTGTTCCACAGAACACAGCCGAACCAACAAAGTAACAAATTTCAGGAACAAACACCATAATGGGTTAGTCCCAATTCAGCTCCAACTGAGATTAAGAATTACCAGAAATAGTTATAACAGTTTTTAAAATCGCTTATGCCCCAAGTCTTACCTCTGCTATACATGTCTCCAGTACTAGGGTTGGTAAGAAATGGCAGGAAGTCCTCAAAGTGACTTTGCATATACTTTGCTGTTTGGTTCCTCAAAGTTGCAACAGTCCAGGAATTTTGGCGATCCTTGAGCTGATCTTCAATAGCTCTGTACATGCAATGGCCATCTGAAGGGATCTGTTTAATCTCTAAGTGCCTTGCTGCCAATAGGAAGGCAAGTTTCTGACTTTCAAGATGTCTAGCACCCGTTAAATTTTTTATCTCAGCTTCAGCTATTCTTTCTTCTCTTTCTTTCTCCAAGGCAGCTTTTTTTTCCTTAGATTAAAAACACATAAAAATTACATCAAATGTTAAAATTTAGAAGATGCCTGTACAGTTCCTGGGTTAGCGCTTGCTTCTAAATCTTCAAATGTTTTCTCAGTTCATTCATAACTGAGAAATGTTCTCCTGAATCAGTACTACCAAATCTTAGAGATCTCCTAAACCCAAACTTTAGCAAATGGTAAGTGACCAATATATCCTAACTGCCTCTGACACCACACCCAAAATTATTTGACAGAAGAAATCTTAATTATATCAACATGCAAAATAACACTTTACAACACCTGTACAAAAGCTATTAATAGTAGTCATTTCTTCAGGATCACCTATTTCACCACATTGGCAAACAACTCAAGTATGAGAATTCTAATTAAACAACAGAAAATATTGCTCTTTCATAAGAAGTGTGAGATCTACCACTTACACATATGATTGCATAATGGAGGTCATGTCATTAAACTCCCTCAAGCTAGGTACTAGACATCATAAAAGATGGCTCCTAACCTAAAGGACAGATAAGAATGCATACAGAGAATACTAGAGGGGATATAATAATATATAACATAAAAATGACTTTTACAGAATGCTTCGTAAATTTACGCTTAAGTTAACAAGGGAATAAGAGTCAAAGTAAACAAGCAAATAAAAAAGGAAGCAGTACAGAGAATGATCTTTTCCCTTTCACACTTAAAATTCACCACAAATCAAGACCAGACTGGTTTAGGTGACCACAATATCGGAAAACTAGACTACAGAGTTTCTAGTTTGCCTAGACATGGTGTGCTCAATTAAGAACATCCTTTTATCATGTTTGTTACACGTCAGGTTGGCAGTAGTGATCATGTAACAGGGGATGGACTCTGCAATAAAGCAGTGCTCCTCTAGCCCTGAACCAACATTCATGCAGGTACAATGAGAACGTTAATCCATCGCAATTTAACATCTGAAGCTTACCAAGATTTAACCCTAATGACCTGGACACCAGGTATGTTTCTTAACAACTTAAAAATTTACAAGAATTTCAGTATTAATATCCCTTAAATGTGTGAAGTCTATTACTTGTATATTTTCCACATGGTATTTTACATTATTTTAATTCAATTACTTTATCTCTTTATTAATGTTTTTAGTTAATTTCTTTTAAAATCATTTGCTTTTCATCATTTGGTTTTTCTGACTCCCATCTCCCGACCTATTTTGGTTCCCAGCTCATGGCTGAGGATAAAAAAAGTACAACTATTTATAAAATGCTTACATATCTCTAGGTAGCAGCTTTACAGATTTTCAAGGCACCCAGTAGGTACAGCATCAATACTGAATTAGCCAGGTAATGTCCCCTGCAAAATTGTTTAACTTCGGTTATTACAGTTAAGTTTAAGTGAATATAACTTCAATCAAATATTTGTAAAATTTTTAAATGTTAAGTCATACCCGCCTCTTCTGTGCTTTTGATATTCGAGGATGCTGAATCTGTTGCTCTACTCCTTCAAGCTCTAAATTTGCAACCCCATCAGCTATAGAATCTGTCTAAAAAGAAAAAAAATGTTAAATGTTCTTATTAGTATAAATGATAACTGAGATGTGCATCTCCTGAAACAGTTTTAAGTTCTGTTCCCAGGTAATTATAAGAGTATATTTATGAAGTTTAACCACAAAGATCTGTGTACAGCACAGAACCTGTCAAAGCCAAAAGTAAAGCATTTTACATCCCAAACCACTGTCATGCATTTTATTACTTTTTCCTGTAGTCTCAACAAAGATACAGTTATGAACCGCACATCTCAAATTTAATCTATACGTTCTCTTACAAGCTTCCACAATGAAGTGTAAATACTGCTTACTGGCTGAAAGGGAAAGTTTTCCTCACCATACCAGCCAACTGAAGTACCCCAACAGGCATTATCAAGTGACAATTAAAGCAGGAGAAGGCTCCACCTTCCATTCCAAATCATAACCAGCAGTTGGAAAAGACAGGGAGGTGGCACTTCTCAAGAAAAATGGCAAAGCTATCCCCATAACGGTATGAACTAGATCTCACCCTTGGAAGCATGGACATGTTTGAATCTGAATATAAAAGTTGAGAAGTGAAGGAAACCACACATCTCAGAACAAAATCCTCTCAGGCAAAGCTATGTCTAGGGCAAGGATTTTAGCTTGAAAGGTCCTTCAGCATAAAGTTTTAACAGCTCATTTAGCAAAGTAAAACAAACTCTTGAAACTAATCTAAGATACAGGTAAACAAAAGCATTATATTTAATGCTTATGCATTAATCATCTGCTTAAGCATCTGATTAAAAATTAATACAGAAGATTGTTATAAGGTCATAACTCTCGCAATTGAAAACTTTTTTCCACAAGGATTCTCAGCAGATGCTTCTCAATCAAGTCTATTTTCCTAAAAGTCATTCAGAAATATTTTCACTCTCATTTTCAAGCAAAAGTACATTCTGCTTAACTCTGTTAGGTCACTGATCAGAAAACACCTAGTCCAGAAAGCATCAGGCAGACAGGTTTTTGTTTGTTTCTTTACAAGACTTAAACAGCCAAAATACACACACTGTTAGGGAAACACTTAAGGAGATGTATGAGCATGGAGCATTAGCATCATTCACAGAGAACTGTATTGTACCAATTTAGCCCTAAGTTCTATTCCCAGGTAGGAGAAAGTATATGAACAGGCCTACTTGCACAAACAGTCCTTAAATTCAGGCACATGATACAAATAGAGTTCTTTTCAGTACTGGATATACAGAATTAAGTCTATGGATTGCAAATTCACTGTAACAGGAGTTTCCAACACTCCACTGTATTGGAAGTGCTGAAACATAGGTGAATTTTTCTATGTCACACAAGTATTTAATAGTATCTAGTTTACTCAGGTGGTCATATTTCCTGCAGCTAAATTTGAATAATGCTAAGCCTGTGTTAAAATTAAGTGGTTTGCCACCAAATATCAAACTGGAAGCATTTAAGTATGTAGCTATGTTGCCAACATGGCAGAACAGTAGCATTTAAGAAGACAATCCTCATCACCGAAGAAAATGTCTTCTTACGAAAAGGTCAGTTACACTGTTGCCAGAATTGCAAGAGAAAACACACTGCATCAGTCAAATCCCTACTGAAGGCCAACAATACTCCAGTAGTCTACATAAGATAATTAGAGTGTCAATATAACAGGAACTTAAAAAAAGAAAAAAAAAATTCTTTAAGACAACTGAGCTACTAACATAGCCTTAAGAGCAAAACCAAATACTGCTCAACAACAACAAAAAAACCCCCCACAGTTCTAGCAGTGCCCACCCACCGTAACAGCTGAATCTTTCCAAAGATGGAAAGAGTTAACAATACAGCAAGGAAAAGGAGAAATACTTTAAAGTGTTACTTCACTATAATTTTTAAAAGTTAAATAAGTCCTAACGCAAATTGTGTCTGTACAACTTCAGCTAAAGTTAAGGCACCTACCTTATTCTGCTCAGGTGAAGCTTCCTTCAGCTGCTTTAATTCCTCCTTGTGCTTCTGTTCAAGTTCTGCCTCTAGTTTGGCAACTTCATCAGCCAGCTGTTTTCGTCTCTTTTTATCATTCTTGGGAACAGCATTTTTCATGCCTTGAATTTTTGCTATTAGAGAAGTAGTGTAATAAAACATTACTCTAAATATAGATACTCCACAGTCGTAGAAAAGAGAACTGGAAGTCATACAGAAAAAAATTTACAAATATGAACATATCAGTATGTTTTAACAGTTTAGCTATGAGACTGCCCGTCACAATTATCACATTTTAAAGCAGCTTAAAGATGCTTAAAAGATGCTTTTTCTTAAAAGATGCAAACGCTATATCTGAAGAAGAGAAAAACTTGTGCCAAGTTACTATTGTAAATACTGATAGGGAGTAATATCATAAGTTT